TGTAATTTTTCATAAAATGGACTATTTCGTGGCCAAATGGAGCATTGGTTGAGTAGTCTAATAAATCACCACAAAAACATATAAATAGACCTGCTATCAGATCAAAAAAAGGCAATAAAAATAACATCCGAATTCAAGGGTGCCAAAATGGTACTCGTGATTTAATTTTTACAATGCATTTGAATGCGAGAGTTGAGACACGTACCAGAGTAGTTACTGAAGTTTTATTATTTACGTTTTTGCGTAAAAATTCTAGAATTTGGTTTGTGTGTTTAGAATCCGAATTCGAACTGGGTTGACAAAACCCTAGTGACGATGACGGGACTATAGTTTGTAAACGGGTCAACACGTCCTTGCTGAAGATATTATAGTCACGGACGCTCGCAATGGCTTAAACAATTAACGACAAATTCAAGGGCAAAACAATAGTATAAAAGATCTAGTTATCAGAAGAACATCTTGAATACATGGAAAAACAAAATATTGTTATTTATTACAATACACAATTGAGGAATTAGCAACCAAGTTTGCGAAACTGGAAATTGGCAAGAACTCACCCCAAGGGTTCAAAGAAAAAATTGAAATATATAGCTGTTATGGAGACCGGATGGGAATGTTCATAACATTAAATCAATTAATTAAAGAAAATGATCGAATAATTAAGAAGTTTTGGAATTGGACAGCGCTTGAAAAGAAATTTAATTCTAATTAAAATATATCTGAAAGCAAATTCTTAAAAAATTTAACATGTTAACAGAACTAAAATCCCTTGGAGAGATGGCTGACTTTAAAGAACTTTTACGAAAGCATTATATATAATCAAACAAGGAGAACAAAAGAAGAAGATTATCCATAAAATAGAGTTAAACATTCGGGGAAATGATAATAATTGTACTTATATGGCTGTCAGGAGGGGGGGGGGGGTAAAAACATTTATTTATGACAATAACAATAATACAGTTCACCCTCTCTATAATGAATATCTTAGTAAACACAAAAGCAGAAAATTACATATAATGACGGAGAGTTCATTATAGAGAGAGTGAACTGTAAACCAGTGAAAATAAATTTGATCGATGCAAAAATTAATTTTTTATTTTAATACAATAATTCATCATTATTGGTTGATGCAATAATTTATCATTTAGCAGTAGACTAAATAACCATTACCTTGACAAAATCCACCATTGAATGAATAAAGTGTTAAAACGATGTTTCACATATTTGACTGAATCGAGATTATTCGGGTCTACCCCGATTCCCCGACAGGATGTTTTCTAAAGTGCAATCATAAAACTAGCCTCGATTCAGTTTGTATAGGGTAGTCAATTTAGTTGATGAAATGAGATGTTGGGGAAATGGGCGCAACCCAAAAGAATCGGATGCAGGGTTCTTGAGACTACCACCAATTGAGGAACCCGCAACCAAACCAACAGAGATTACTAAAAAACTCGGAACAGATTATTAGGTATATAGTAATAGATTTGAAAATATAAAAAATATTTAAGTTCTACTATTTCACTTTCAAACGTTGAAGATGTGCGAGTTACATCAATAGTTTTTTAAATAATAAAATAGATAGATAGATAATGATCAATAAAAATTTTAATCGAAAATTGGGAAAGGATCTTAATTAATGTGTGATCGTAGATAGATTAGATTAATGATTTTAATTTGCTAGCAGTAGTAGCAATAATAATAATAATAATAATAATAAAATTAAAATTAAAATTAATTCTGTGATTTTATTATTGTTGATCCAAGTATAAATTATTATTTTTATAGTTTATATTATTTATTGTAAACAAATTTTATCTAATTCTGATATGTTATACTTTGCTACGTTCACCATGATGTCTTGCATTTTTAATCCCTCATCAGAGAATATTGACGGCGGAGTTGGATGATTTAAGTATTGGAAAAACAGTTTGTTTATGATTGGTAGGATGTAATTGGACCAAATATAAAATCGATATTTATAAGAAACCTGTATGTAATTGTTATTACTATTATTAAATAATAATGATAATAAATTTTGGATAGATAGAAATAACATACCCTAACATTTGGATTGATAAATATCTTATTGTAACCCAATTTTCTAAAATCACTATACACCAAACAACATTCACTTGCCTCAAATGGTAAACCTTCTTCAAGTAATGGCATCAAGGCACGAAACCTTACATTATGTTTCACAAAAGGTTCAGCATTCATGACTACCACACCATTCCAACAACTGAACACTTGTACTGGCTCACCATTATAGATCTGTTGTTGAACAGTAGGGTTATAGAAGTATGGATAGTAAGAGGTCGGAGGCCAAGGATAACTGTCACTTACATTTAGCGATGATGGTTCGGAAGAGTAGGAAAAACGAAGAGGTAGTTCACGTGTGGCAAAAGTATTATGGAAGGTCCAATAGTAGTCCATGGCACATACAGCATCATAATTATAATTGTTTGTTTCTAACAGTGTTAAAATATCTGACACTGACCATAATATATCATTAAAATATATGATCTTGTCAAATTTAATATTATTATTATTATTATTATCATCATCATCATCATCATCACCATTCATTGGTTGGCTAAGTGACAGTAATGGCTTTAACACTTCATTTCTTAAATTAGCCATATAAGTAATTCTTCTATCGTAACGTTTGGAATTATCATCAGTAATTATTGTATTTGCCACACCTAAAAGGTTAAGAGAGGATTGAAGAGTGTAAAGAAGTGACTTTGTTTTGTCTTTGCTACCTGTGGTTTAGTTGTTAAAATACATATGGCGTATATGTGTGTGAGTATGATTCAAGTGATGTGTCATTTAATGTCACGTTAACTTACCATTTTCAAATATTGACACATAAACATTCTCTGGTTTTAATATTTGTATCAATTTTAATAATTCTTCATTGAAATCATATAATATATCTTCATTATTATAGAAATTTGCAGCTATAAAAATCTTTTGTTGTGGTAGATTATATAATGGTAAATCTGATAGACTGTATGCGATCAAGATTAAATAAACGGCATATGAATTGAATGAGATAATGTGTGTATATGCGCATGTGAAGTTTAAATAATATATATAAATTAATTAACTAATTAATTAATTAATTAAAATTCCGAAATTAACAACTGACTTCCATAATGTCATCTGATTTCCAATCCAAAAACATGCCCAAAGCATCAAAACCATCAGCATCATCACAAGTACTTTTGTATTTCTTTGACTTGATGATGTTCGTCTTCTTCTCTTACTTGGCATAAAATAAAATTAAAATATTTTTTAGTTTTTATATTCGTTTTCTGAAAAATCACTCTGTAATTAATTAAGTCTCTTACATGGTAAAAAAGGTAAAAGGATTGTTACATATTGATGAGTTATGATTCCTCATGATCTTTTTTTTCTTCCCAAAAATCAAAAATAATTGAATTGTTAATTTAATTTGTGATCCACAGTAATTACTATAATAACAATAATATATGAAGCGTTGCCCAAAGGTAAAAGTAAAAACGAGCAAAAGAAGTTGGTTTTTTTGTTACATACAACTAGACGAAGTGTACATTATTGATATGTCACAAAGAAATTTCAGGGATTCAGGGACCAAGATTGTTTAACATCACAGTTGTACTACCTCCTCTCATTTGTTCAAAAAAAAAAAATCAAAAAAATGAAAGTGCCAAAAATCAACAATCTAGAAAGAATTTTAAGACCAAATGATGTACCAGGAACTTTGCTAAATATGACATTATTTAATATTGGAAGTGAAGATCCTAATCTTAGGCTGGCTGCATATAATTTGCTGGTCTCTCTAAGTAATGTATTTAATTTTGATGTAGGAAATCAATTATTGGCTACAAAAGGTATATTTTAGACTTTATCATCATCATCACATCATTATTTTGAATTTAATAATTAATTACAATATATATACATCAATATTTTTAGGTTTATGTATTCCAGCAAATAATACAAATTTTATAGTTGGGATAAGTGAAAAACTTGCTGCTTCAGAAAGTCGACTTACTCTTGATTTTCTAAGGGAATTTTTTGTTGGGTTCAACAAGTCAAATACACCAACAAAACATTTATGTCTTCAATATATGGCTCCTTGGTTGTTAAATTTGGGTCAATTTATTAAAAATCCATCAGGAAATCCGCAAACAAACAATAAAACAAGAGACATAATCCGAAAACTGATTGATCTGACAGCAAGAGAAATTGATGTATGGATTTTTTTTTTAATTATTTATATATTATTCTTTAGATCATTTATATTTTAAATTAAAGTCTTTTTTATGTTTTGCATTAGTTATACACTACCGTTCAGTCTAAAATTTGGAGTACTTTGGCCAATGTAAATGAAATCACAAATTTAATAATCGATGAATTTTTACTGTATGCTGTTGAACATGGTATAAATTCTACACAATCTGAAACTGTAGCCAACACCATAGTAACTTTATCTTCACCAAGCATCCGTGGAAAAATAATAGCCAGATTGAGAAAGGTGCTTAAATTAATGCGTGTGTGTGGGGTGGAGTTGGATCAATTTTATTTTCAAAAATTTTATTAATATATATATATTTAGGTTATTTCAAGAACTTCTTTAAAAGCAACAAAAACTCTTACTGATAATCCTGAATGGCCTGAAATCGCAGTTTTGGTCCGGTTTAATTTAATGTTATCATTTAATAATGGAAATATTCACCAATATCTGCCTGAATTATTTTATATTGTTTCAGTTTTGGTAGCAACTGGCCCTCCGATTATAAGGGCATCAGTTCATGGACTTATTGTAAATTTAGTTCAATCATTATGTACATCAATGCCATTAGAAGATTCCAATATGAAAAAACTTGGTTTATTATTGAATGAATTATCTGAACCTAACTACCGTTACTTTTTTGGGCTAAACAATGTATTTGGAAATGCTTTTATGATTTCTCCAGAATCTATTAATGATATATCAGACAGTATGCCTTTAGCATCATTAGAAAAGATTGTTCAAGCACTTTTGGACGTGATGGTATGTGGCTCCGCTTCAGTTGGTAAGTTAACAATAAATATTTTTATTTATGTATCAGATATGAATAATATGAATATTAAACTGAATTGAATATCCGCATACATGTACATATAGACATGTCAAATACATGGAGAGCACGTTGGATGGGGCTTGTTGCAAGTACAGCTTTTCAACATAATCCAGCAATACAACCTAGAGCATTTGTAACATTAGGATGTTTAGCACGTGAAGAAGTTGATGATGATCTTTTATATCAAATCTTAGTAGCATTAAGAGGAGCGTTGTCAATGTTTACAGAAAATGATTGTTTGCTTATAATAAGCATTGTTATGTGTCTTACAAACATTGTAGAAAACCTACCACCAGGTTCACGTTATTTGTTACCATTATTTTGGCTAGCCATTTCACTAGTTCAAATTGGTCATGTTCCAATATTTCCAAGTGCAATATCACTATTACAAGAAGTTTTACGAACTTTAGACAACAATAATGTCTTTGAAAATAAAGATATTTCTGAAATACTTTTAAATGCTAGAATTCCATTGGAAGAAATTGGCGTTAAAATGGACAGTGAAGCAGGGTTAAATTTCGAATATTTTTCATTCGCGATTGCAGCTACACTACTTAAAGGATTGAAAAATCCAGTCACGAAAACTGGCACTCAAAGTTTATTAACGTCATTTTTAAATATAGCATCTAGAGTTGGGAATAAACGTCGAGATGATATTATAGATGCCAACATGCTAGGTTATCTTGCAGCATTGTTACCGGTATCGGCCAAGAATCAGGATATGAAAGAATTGTTATGGCTTTGTGGAATTGGTGATAACGAGATTGATAATTCCGAATTAACAACCACCTATTTTAAAATCTATGATAAATTGGACATTCCAAATAACGAGGCTGCTTTCCTATTAATTTCATTGATGATAGCAATTTTAAATAATGCAGAAAATGAATCTGAAAAATTGTTTCTTTATGGATTTTTGGCTGAGGCTGCTAAAGCACTACCTGGTGTTTTTTCATTAGTGTATCCTTTTTTTTTTTTCTTTTCTGTTTGATTATTTACACTGTTAAATTCAAATTTTCCTTAACACAGATTAATATAAATTATTATTATTATTAACAACAGATATGACAGTTTGCTTCCAAAGATGACACATATAATAAACAATTGTGAGACGATACCGATTCTTGATTCAGTTCAATCCATTCTTTACACAATTGTATCATCGGAAACTAAATTTTCGTCAAAGGGTAATAAAAAACAAATGTCATCGTATCTTGATAATCTTGGATTTTCAAATTTGATGGAATGCGGTTCATTTCAAGATATTACCAAAGAAAAATTGAAAACAAATGCGTTATTAGCAAGTGATTTGGTTGATAAAATAATAAATGGATAAAAAAAACAAATTTAAATAAATAGATTTTTTTTTTAATATACATATATATTATTTACTTTATAAATATAATTTTTAATAATTTTATAAATAATACAAATGATTAATATTACAAAAAAAAAAAAACAAAATAAATAGACAATAAGAATAGAATTTTTATTATTTACATATAGTAGAGTTTTTTGAAATCACAAAACATTGCTTATAGTGATCTTGGTTGTGAATCCATTTATTTATGAGAAATAATTTAAAGTCGAAGAAAGTCCTTTTGTCTGTTAATATAAGAATAATGATTTCAGTGAACAAATCAGGTTGGTAAATGCCATCAAAGGGCCGTTGAATGTTGCTTTGATAGAGATAGAAATTTGGGTTTGTAAGAATATGTATGATCCAGAGAAATCAATTCTCTTTTACCAGTTCAATTGTCCGTATCGATTCTTGATTTAGCAGATGTCTAATAAAAGCCATGATTTAACTAAAGCTCCGAACGGTCCGATTACGGTTTGGTCCGGTTTCGGTTTTTAAATTATCATTGAACGCAAGAAAAAATTATTTTTCAAGCACAATTAAACCCTCGTTCCAGCGAATTATAATTAAATCCGCGCGTTTCAACGAATTTTTAAAAATTTTCGTCACACATTATGAAAACATACAAAAATTCGTCGAAACGCGATTAGTAATCTCGTTTCAACGAATTTGAATGAAATTTTCAGCCAATTTGTTGAAACGAGGTTTGACTATACAAGCTTCTTGTATACAATTAAATTAGTTAGTAGCACTCTAATCAACAAAGGTTGCACTTTAATTACTATTTAGCAATTTAATCATGAATCCGCACCTCTTGTATAATTGCGATTCAGTGATTTAATTCCGAAATAATTTTTTCAAATAAATTGATAACGTTATCGGAATTAGAAATTAATGTCGATTCGTTGGTCGACATTCTCCAATTACGCATTAATCTATTTTTATAATTTATTTACATATGTAAACTCGATAAGTCGGCTATGAATGGCTGGACATGACGGTCCGAACCGACTTATCAAGAACACGCGACTTTAAATTTTTAGTAAAATACTGATCTTTATATAAATTGTTCGGAAGATCGTGAAATCAACCTTTTTATAGATACAAATATAATAAAAACATTGTTCATGATACAAAAAAGAAATGGTTTTCCTAAATGATGCAAGTAATGGTATAACTTAAAATACAAAATGTATTGTTCATGATAGAAAAAAGAAACGCTTTTTCTGAGATGATAATAATAAATGGTACAATCAATGATGTAACTAACAAAATAATAAATATAACTTACTAGATAATACTTATTTATAATATTTGAATATTACACATTACTAAAATAGTAATGGTAACCTCTCAAATGCAAATATTAATATCATGTGAGACCGGTTTATCGATTTAGAAGAAGGGTTGGCCCGACTTGCAGCTTATCGCGATTTTATATAGATTGACCGACTTATCGAGTTCACCTATGTATTCCATTTTATTTATAACATTATAATTTATTTATAGAAGAATTTAATATGAATTTTGCACTTGGAAAATCTATATATGAATCATTCTTTTAACATGAATTTTATTTTAAAATATTTGAAATTTAAAAGTGAGCGAAATAACAAGAATGTGAATATTATGCACAAAGAAAATAATTTTGAACTGTTGGGATGCGAAATATCCTAACATCCCTTTGCGCAATGATGTAATTTTTCATAAAATGGACTATTTCGTGGCCAAATGGAGCATTGGTTGAGTAGTCTAATAAATCACCACAAAAACATATAAATAGACCTGCTATCAGATCAAAAAAAGGCAATAAAAATAACATCCGAATTCAAGGGTGCCAAAATGGTACTCGTGATTTAATTTTTACAATGCATTTGAATGCGAGAGTTGAGACACGTACCAGAGTAGTTACTGAAGTTTTATTATTTACGTTTTTGCGTAAAAATTCTAGAATTTGGTTTGTGTGTTTAGAATCCGAATTCGAACTGGGTTGACAAAACCCTAGTGACGATGACGGGACTATAGTTTGTAAACGGGTCAACACGTCCTTGCTGAAGATATTATAGTCACGGACGCTCGCAATGGCTTAAACAATTAACGACAAATTCAAGGGCAAAACAATAGTATAAAAGATCTAGTTATCAGAAGAACATCTTGAATACATGGAAAAACAAAATATTGTTATTTATTACAATACACAATTGAGGAATTAGCAACCAAGTTTGCGAAACTGGAAATTGGCAAGAACTCACCCCAAGGGTTCAAAGAAAAAATTGAAATATATAGCTGTTATGGAGACCGGATGGGAATGTTCATAACATTAAATCAATTAATTAAAGAAAATGATCGAATAATTAAGAAGTTTTGGAATTGGACAGCGCTTGAAAAGAAATTTAATTCTAATTAAAATATATCTGAAAGCAAATTCTTAAAAAAACAAAGATAACAAACAGATGGGAGGTTATAAAATAGTTAAACCACAGTAATAATTACATTACTAAATTTTGATCCCTGTAATTCTTGGTAATACAAATGTTCAATTTGTTGCCCCATAACAATTGTGATGGTAATGATTAAATTTTGGTCCCTGAAATCCTTGGTAATACCAATGTTCACCATGTGAGAATTGTTATGCTAACCAAATTTGGGACTGATTTTAATGAAATCAAAAAATTATCCGACCTTTACTTTTTCGTTTAGATTGAATTAATGTTAATATGGTGGATATTGCTAGCCAAAAAAATTCTTTCTAGATTGTTGATTTTTGGCACTTTCATTTTTTTGATTTTTTTTTTTTGAACAAATGAGAGGAGGTAGTACAACTGTGATGTTAAACAATCTTGGTCCCTGAATCCCTGAAATTTCTTTGTGACATATCAATAATGTACACTTCGTCTAGTTGTATGTAACAAAAAAACCAACTTCTTTTGCTCGTTTTTACTTTTACCTTTGGGCAACGCTTCATATATTATTGTTATTATAGTAATTACTGTGGATCACAAATTAAATTAACAATTCAATTATTTTTGATTTTTGGGAAGAAAAAAAAGATCATGAGGAATCATAACTCATCAATATGTAACAATCCTTTTACCTTTTTTACCATGTAAGAGACTTAATTAATTACAGAGTGATTTTTCAGAAAACGAATATAAAAACTAAAAAATATTTTAATTTTATTTTATGCCAAGTAAGAGAAGAAGACGAACATCATCAAGTCAAAGAAATACAAAAGTACTTGTGATGATGCTGATGGTTTTGATGCTTTGGGCATGTTTTTGGATTGGAAATCAGATGACATTATGGAAGTCAGTTGTTAATTTCGGAATTTTAATTAATTAATTAATTAGTTAATTAATTTATATATATTATTTAAACTTCACATGCGCATATACACACATTATCTCATTCAATTCATATGCCGTTTATTTAATCTTGATCGCATACAGTCTATCAGATTTACCATTATATAATCTACCACAACAAAAGATTTTTATAGCTGCAAATTTCTATAATAATGAAGATATATTATATGATTTCAATGAAGAATTATTAAAATTGATACAAATATTAAAACCAGAGAATGTTTATGTGTCAATATTTGAAAATGGTAAGTTAACGTGACATTAAATGACACATCACTTGAATCATACTCACACACATATACGCCATATGTATTTTAACAACTAAACCACAGGTAGCAAAGACAAAACAAAGTCACTTCTTTACACTCTTCAATCCTCTCTTAACCTTTTAGGTGTGGCAAATACAATAATTACTGATGATAATTCCAAACGTTACGATAGAAGAATTACTTATATGGCTAATTTAAGAAATGAAGTGTTAAAGCCATTACTGTCACTTAGCCAACCAATGAATGGTGATGATGATGATGATGATGATAATAATAATAATAATAATATTAAATTTGACAAGATCATATATTTTAATGATATATTATGGTCAGTGTCAGATATTTTAACACTGTTAGAAACAAACAATTATAATTATGATGCTGTATGTGCCATGGACTACTATTGGACCTTCCATAATACTTTTGCCACACGTGAACTACCTCTTCGTTTTTCCTACTCTTCCGAACCATCATCGCTAAATGTAAGTGACAGTTATCCTTGGCCTCCGACCTCTTACTATCCATACTTCTATAACCCTACTGTTCAACAACAGATCTATAATGGTGAGCCAGTACAAGTGTTCAGTTGTTGGAATGGTGTGGTAGTCATGAATGCTGAACCTTTTGTGAAACATAATGTAAGGTTTCGTGCCTTGATGCCATTACTTGAAGAAGGTTTACCATTTGAGGCAAGTGAATGTTGTTTGGTGTATAGTGATTTTAGAAAATTGGGTTACAATAAGATATTTATCAATCCAAATGTTAGGGTATGTTATTTCTATCTATCCAAAATTTATTATCATTATTATTTAATAATAGTAATAACAATTACATACAGGTTTCTTATAAATATCGATTTTATATTTGGTCCAATTACATCCTACCAATCATAAACAAACTGTTTTTCCAATACTTAAATCATCCAACTCCGCCGTCAATATTCTCTGATGAGGGATTAAAAATGCAAGACATCATGGTGAACGTAGCAAAGTATAACATATCAGAATTAGATAAAATTTGTTTACAATAAATAATATAAACTATAAAAATAATAATTTATACTTGGATCAACAATAATAAAATCACAGAATTAATTTTAATTTTAATTTTATTATTATTATTATTATTATTATTGCTACTACTGCTAGCAAATTAAAATCATTAATCTAATCTATCTACGATCACACATTAATTAAGATCCTTTCCCAATTTTCGATTAAAATTTTTATTGATCATTATCTATCTATCTATTTTATTATTTAAAAAACTATTGATGTAACTCGCACATCTTCAACGTTTGAAAGTGAAATAGTAGAACTTAAATATTTTTTATATTTTCAAATCTATTACTATATACCTAATAATCTGTTCCGAGTTTTTTAGTAATCTCTGTTGGTTTGGTTGCGGGTTCCTCAATTGGTGGTAGTCTCAAGAACCCTGCATCCGATTCTTTTGGGTTGCGCCCATTTCCCCAACATCTCATTTCATCAACTAAATTGACTACCCTATACAAACTGAATCGAGGCTAGTTTTATGATTGCACTTTAGAAAACATCCTGTCGGGGAATCGGGGTAGACCCGAATAATCTCGATTCAGTCAAATATGTGAAACATCGTTTTAACACTTTATTCATTCAATGGTGGATTTTGTCAAGGTAATGGTTATTTAGTCTACTGCTAAATGATAA